TGACAGCTTCGATACCTTTTTCAATAATTTGCCAATGAATTTTCATCTCATTTTCATAGTGACGCTTATTCGAAGTTTTCAAATGTTCTTTAGCTCGTTTATATAATTCTTTGAGCAAAATTTAAAAAATAAATGAAACTAACACATTAGCAACTGAATATTCACTTTAGATATTCAAAAAAACCGCTTTTCAGAACAAAATAAAAATTTTCTATATTCTATGCATCATTTAAATTGACATCGCTAATAACAAGAAATTACCTTTTTATTAAGGCTATGCAAAATCCTTGTTGGCATATTTTTTATGTTTTATGATTTAAAGAAAAATATTGAGTGAAAAGGAAAAAGTACTCAGACAAGTACAGCACAAGCCTCTCAATCTTTATTCGATAAATTATTCATTTTTTTCAAATTCAAATTTTGAAGCCAAGAGCACTTCACATTTTAATAAGCCATCACCTTCTTTTTCAAGAATTGTATGCTTTACTAAACGAGTACAGTTTGAAACATATAAACATATTGAGCAGTAGCCAACGAAACTGTTTACATAGTAATAACGTAACAGTGGTTCTCTTGTGACCCAATTCAATCAAGACTAACACTAAACAAGCGCGTCACGTGCTTTTTGAAGTATTTTGCATAAATCTCTAGTTTTTCTAGGAAAATACATTTTCCTTAGTCTAATTGTCGATTTTTTCATAGAAATTTGAAGTTTTTTAAAATAAAATGGAATTTCTTTTTGTTTCAAGAGTTTCTCCCTTGTATAGTTTGTGAAAATATTGAAATATTGTATTTCTCCGCAAAAAATACAAGCCTATAATTTATTAATGCAAAATAGGGTTTGGATCAACATATGGTAGTAACATTCGACGGAATGGTGTTCATTATGACTGTGGATGCATCATAAGTCACACAGGCGAACTCGCTAATGCCTCACCACAAACGACTCCACTAAACAAGCCGATAGTTTATGTTGTCTACTTCTCGACATTTGGTGCGATGGTAAGTTATGCTTATATTTGGTAATCTTGTTTCTTCCTTTCAACTTTTGATTCATTTAGGCGTGGCATCTATTATTGTACGAAAAAGCAGTTGAAAATCTATATGGGCCTATCCTATCACCGTATGCGATCAATGACACTACTGCTGATGTTCGCATGAGTGGCAATAATCAACGAACAAAAGTCTGCCATTTTGTGCGAGCTCGACTGTTTTCAACGTTCAACTTTCTATCAATTCATTACAATCAAAGTCAAAATGATGCATGCATTCTTTTGAACAGTTGTATCGAGCGAATGGCTCTTTCGACAATTAATCAACGAAGTTCTTGGATTAAAGCGAGTTATGGAACACTAGCAGAAAATTCGTCGCTGAAAAGATGTACATACATCAAGTGTTCTCTGTTGCTCAAGAACACTTACCTAAATACAAAGCTTACATCGATGAATTGCATTTACAATCTCAAATACAAATGGCTTTACAAAAGTATAGCAGTCGAATACCAATCGTTATTCAAATGTCACATTTTACAACAGAATGGTACAATCCAAAATACTCAGAATTATCATTAAACATCATACAACTGTTGCTTCATTCAACAGATCGTCTCAAAATAACGGCACACATTTATAACCTGTGCCGATTCTATTTTCTCCTACATCAGACATACTCTCAAATGATTGAACGGGGAAAATGTGAAGAAATTACACTCAAAGAATTATATAAACGAGCTAAAGAACATTTGAAAACTTCGAATAAGCGTCACTATGAAAATGAGATGAAAATTCATTGGCAAATTATTGAAAAAGGTATCGAAGCTGTCAACGCCTATCATAAGAGTACGGATGGCTATATTCGACCAGGTGTCTGCAATGAGACCCAACGCTTTTTTCAGATCACAGAAGATACTCCAGTATCCTACTTAGTTACAACAGAAAACTACGACGAAGGAAACATCATTATGTGCATACTCAGGTATACCATTCATACATTTTTAGTCTAGAACAACTGTTTGATCTTTTATGAAAACAATGATGACGTTTATTGAGACATAACGGGCCAGACATAGTGAATGATCATATTTTGTTGTCAGTTTTTGAGACACTTTAAAAACTGTAGATCTTAATTCATTCGGGAGAGAACTTATCTCGTCACAAAACTGTCCGGTTTGCTTTTACAAGGGCCATATATTATCGACGCAGTTTAACACATAAAAACTATTTCAATAGTACCCATGTGAAAGAGTGATGACATAATCCAGTTACACCGGGTAGCGACTTTTTCTCCATAGTAATCTACTAAGTATTCGTCGAAGCTTTCCAAACATTCGGTATATTACTCCTCGAGTATCCACTTCGATACCGTACGATATAACGATATGTTGACGGTAGGAGAATTTGAGTTGTTTTGGTGTAGCTATTACTTCTAGGATATCGAAGTCATTACGCTTTAGGGTAATACACCAAAACAAATCAAATTCTTCAACTTATAACATATCATTATATCGTCGGGTATCGGAGTGAGTACTCGATGAGTAACACCGCAAAATTGATTCGATGAGCACTATGACGTCGAAATCTCGGTATTCAATGTAAAATTATCATGAAATCTATGAAAGTTTCACTTTTTCGAATATTTTTTCATCCGAAATATGAGAAGAAGAAGAGCAGTATCCACTTTTTTCACACGGTAATTCGATATTCAGACAAAAAAATATTCACTAAGAATTTCTTCAAATTTTGAACAATCTATCCGATGAAATAACTAACAGTAGTATGTTGAAAACGGTGATAATTACAAAAGAAAATAAATTAGAAGCTCTTCTATTGGTTATCCAAGCACAAAGCAAAAGAAATTTTTGATCCGAAAACAATTCAACATCTTGAATAGGTTTCTTCCTCGCCTATCATTCTCTTATTTTTGCTTAATTGCATCAATCGATTGCTTCGTTCTATTTTTCAAGCATTCTCATCGATTATCACAACAGCTTTTTGGATACAATCGAGCACGAATTCGACTCTTACGAACATAAAGATATGAACACACTCAAATATTTGATTGGCAAAATAGTACCAAAAGAAGTCTCTATTATACAAGTCGTACGCGAAAATACAGGTGTCATTAGTTTAAACGGCAACGATTGCTTATGGATTGAAAAGTTAGCACTTGCAAATCGCGTTGTTGAAAATGAAATTTTTCCAACGTACGATACAAAACTGAATTTTGACTATTTGAATGTTCAATCGTACATTATACGAACATACTTACTTCTCTGTCATATCAAATACCAAGATATTGCTCAAAAGTATATGTATTTTGTACCGCGAAAAATTATGAATGCTGTCACAATGGCCGATGATGAAATGTTCAAGTTGAACGAAAACTATTCGATTCCACTCGAAACCGATTGGGATCATTTAAATGAAATGCCAATCGATCAGCTTTATCACAGTTACAATGTCTTAAGACAAATAGCTTCCACATTAAAAAATGAATCAAATGACCGATCGATTATGGATTTGCACGATTATATTGAAACAATCGAAGACAAAGATCTAATTGTTCCCAAAATGCAAGAATGCAAAGTTCAAAATTTTCAACTCTGTCACATGAACCATGTAAGCAAATTGTACAAAGGTTTGGTCGGAAGATTCGAACACTTATTCACAGATACTTCTTCACTACTTCAAATACCAATATCAACCGAACTAAGTAATCAGCTTAATGATAGACTGAAAAAAGAACTGATCAATATCGATAATAATATTGGTGATAAGACTATGATCATTCAAAAGATGGAATCAAATATGCAAGATATCGATCAACTTTTAGATGAATTAAAAGAAATGGAAGAAACACTTGTCGAAACAGGGACTGCAACGGTAACTAAAATGTGCAAGGATTACCTGATTAAAAGCCCACTCTTGCAAATAATCGGTGAAGAGATCCAATGTAGAAACTATGTATCTTTGAATATTATACTGATTCAAATTCGATACAAATTGCAAGAAAAAATAATTAATATCGAAGCAGCAAATACAAAACAATGGAATGAAAATTTCGATGAAGCATCAAATCAAACCGAACAGCAGAATAGAAGGAATCGCTTTTGTCCGATTGAAGGCGACGACACTGAACAAGATGATGCCAGTATATTCAAAGGTTGTATTAAACATCGAGATTCAGATGATAAAGCAAATGAAATTGTCGACGAACCATCTTCGCCATTAGTGGAAAATGTTGAAATTCCGTCGCTATTTGAATTGGCCATCGAACCTATTCCGATAGCATCATTGCCATCGATTTTAGCAGACTGTGATCAATCGAACACAGCATCAGGGCCTCAGAAGAAGGTTCACAAGTTTGATATTAAAAGACAACCTGATGGGAAATTTGATAGTTATACATGCAAAATTGAAACGATCTACACTAAATTAAAAGACCATATGACCAAGAAGAAGTACGACATAAATAAGAATGTTGTCGTCGACAGTAATAAAATATTTATCGATTTTACAAGAACAGATGCTCGTCTTCCCAATCCATTGCCTTTAGAATATGAAATTGTCGAAAGAACTTTATTAGTTCCAATCCGACTTCTGCAAGGACAAGAAGAATTCGAATATTTGGCATTATCCGATTGTAGTGTTCTCAGTATCATCCGTCGTTTCGTAGATGAGCACGATCGAAAGCCGTCATCATCCGAATTTCGTTATTGTTTCTGTGACGAACTCGGAAGATACATCGACAATGGGACGATTGTAGAACTCTCTCGAATGAATCGGGATATCCCAATCGTTATTGTAGTCACAGAAGAAAATATGCAAGGCAGTGTCTTCTATGCTGTTACCCTACGAACAAAAGAAGGTAAGAGCTGTTGTGTACCGATGCTTTATCAATAACTGAGAGTATTTGAGTCTAGGTCAAGAACAAAAGAGCCTGTTTCATCCCACGACGAAATGGCAAAATATCGATATTTGGCGTAAAACTCATTTGCAACAAATCGATTCATCATGTGTCTTCTGGAATCAAAACAATAAAACTATCGTTGATGAAAATCAATCGATATCGATGTTAGAAGAAAATTCGATAGCATTAGATGGCATCAGTCAAGATCAAATACGAGATGTTACTTTCTTATTTGGCTCGAAAACACAAGTTATTCGAGCCCTCAAATCGATCCGAATTCATGATCTGCTGAACAATGGTAATCTTCAACAATTGAATCTGCATGTTTCACCGAAAGACTGCATTCTCATGCTGGGTGAAAGCGATGATCAAATACTGTCTACAAGCGATATGCAAAAATCACTTGAAGAGTACGTCCAACCAATTCAATTTCGAATATCGGTAAAATTTAATGTGTTTCAATACGATATACAAAGAAATATAGAAATAAGAATTACAGATAGTGATATAACTGTGGATCAAGTGTTACACATGAAAGAAATAACAAGTGATGCTTACAAATATTTGACATCAAGTGATAGAAATATAATTATTGCTAATGATCAAAAGATTGCCGATTTAAATCAAACCGAATTTATTGTTCTTAAGGAAAATGAAACGTGTTACGTTTCGATTGAAAATTCAATCGATGCACAAGTCGATGGTAGTAATACACGATATGCAATATTTGCAACTATTGCTGATGTTTTGAAAAACAGTAACATTAGCGTTGGATATCTTCTGCATTCGAATGATTTCGTTCCTTCGGCAGAGACTAAGCTGACATCATTTATATCGCCGATTCAATTTCAAGTTATCAAGGATAATTTACCGATTGTTGTTACAATCGTCAATACGGAACAAGGAAATTGCTCGATTACATTTAACTGCTCCAACTCTATCACTGTAGAACGCATATTTAAGATTTCATGCGAACTACTAAATGTAGATCAGCGTCACTACTGCTTGAAGCATAACGATTCTGAGATAGATGTTGAAATGAGTCTAGAAGATCTCGAACCGGCATTGAATAATTTTCATTTTCAATTAAGTTCTACGTTCGACATGAAATGTTCAATACGATACAATAATGAAACATTTAGACTACCGTGCTCTAAAGACGCAACGACGATGGATCTTGCAAAAGAGATATTTCAGAAATTTCATATTTCCGATGAAGAAATTCATCAATTCGAAATACAACTGATTTTGAATGATGACACAAAATCGGCATTGGATATGGATCTTGCAATTGAGGATATTATTTCACTTCATTTTGAGAATGAAGAGACACCGATTTTACTATTTGAATTAACGAAGAAAGTCGAATAGCAAATACATTTTTCTTTATTTAAACGTTTGGTTTTATTTTAATCAATAAACTACACCCTCAACCAAAGGAATCTTTTGATAATTGAATCCAAAGATAGCTGATTTTATCTTTGTAAGAATCTCATATGAAAAATGAATTGCAGGTTTTATTGTTTTTCAGAGCTATTGTGTAACATTATCTACTAGGTAAATTAACTACTCATTTTGTTTTGAACAAAACAAGACTTTTTGTTCTTAAAATAATTATTCCACTTATTGTAAGACAAAAATCATATCTACAAAACTCTAGAAACCGATTTAACGACTCATGGTTATCTGTTTGATTCCAAAAAGATTTCATTGCCATTTTTGCGATCATAGATAAACGGTGATTCAAAAGCGGGAGTCTAAATCCTTGTAACTAGACGAATATCACCCAAAATTTTCAGATCTTTAGTCCTTATTATAGGAGAGATATGTAGGTTTGTATGATAGACAAAATTGTTTTTCAATGTCCTAAAATCAAAATAGCGAGAACTTACATAAAATAATACAATAAACGTATCAGAATGAGGCAATATTAAGAGAACTCTAACAAATCGAATTATTTCTCTATTGTCCATCATCCATTTTCGACAAATATTTTTCAATTGTTTTTTGGCATTTAATTTTTTAATGCTTTATTTTGTGCGTTATCGGAAGAAGACTCTTTAATCACCTTTTAGAAAATGCATTATTGTTATTAAAAAGAAATACAGACTGCCAAAGAAAAATTTAAAATTAATTATTGTCACCATATTCTGCGAAATTAATTAATTTTAATGAAGGCTGGCTAAAACAGAAAACATGAATCAAAACTGAATAATTAATTGCTTGTGCTACGTTTCCTTTGTATGCGTGATAATGTGACATTCTCGAATGAGATATAATTCTTTATAACATTAATGTGCTCTCGTAGTGCAAGCTTTTTTTCTCTTTCATGTTTTGCAGCGTAATTTCTCGTCAGTAAGAAACGGAGATGCCGGATGGGCTGGGTAGCTCATGGGTCAACCCTAACCCAACCCAACGTAGCCCTCCGGCCATTTGAGAATTTTAAACTCTAACCCATCGGTCAACCCTTCGGTTAACCCATGAATAATGTATATTGTAAAATCATTCACAGAAGGGATTTTTTATGCAGATTTTTTTATAACACAACATAGGGTATCAATCATCTTTTCCATATTTACAATTGATTTAATTGCATAGTCAAAAGTAGCAGACAAGAATCGGATTTTATCTTCTTATAATCTCTGCTTTATATCTCTTTCTTGTAATCATCTATTTTCTTCTTCCCTTCTCTGTTTCGTGTCTCTTGTTGTCTTTCTGCTGTAGAGGCAGATTTCACTATCTTCTTTACTAGATCTTTTTTTGGCTTCTATATTCTTCGATTGCTGTTGTTCAGAATACATCTCGAGCGATTTCTATCAAAACTATACATTAGTACACCATGCTGGTTGAGTTCCAGAGTTGGCCTGTCCCGTGTCCCGGGGGTTGTGACAACCCCCAATAATCGAAAACTTTTGTTTTTTTTAGTGCAGCCGAAAATTTTTTCTTGCGTTCTGTTAGAAAAATTGGTACTCTTATTAGAAAAATCCGACACAAACCCCAATGTTTGCTGCCTCTGGCCAGTCCTGTTGAACTATTAGTTTTTATTTTAGTTTTATATTGACTTAAAAAACTAAAACTTTTGGAAGTCATCACTGTTGTTTTCAATATATTAGAGAAATACATCACTATATAGATATCGATTTCGGATCAGTACAATTTTGTTTAATGGCACTACTTCTAAATAAAATTTTAGATTCGATTAATTTTATATTCTATTACATGCAAATGAATAATAATAATAACTCTTCAGTTTATTTTTATTGGTGAATTTATTCGCTCAACAATGAAAATGATTTCGTTCACAAATGTAATAGAAATCTGTTGATAGCCATAGACCTCTATCAGCAGTGTGCAATTCTTACACATAGCAGAGAATAGAAATAAAAATTGGGTTGAAACCCATCGGTTTTCTCTATCAGCTACCGTACGGTCAACCCTCGGGTTGGGAAAAGTGATTTTTTCGGCATCTCTGGTAAGAAAGAGATAAATGTGAGAAACTGAATTAAAGTCAAAGCAGCAATTTGTTTTTTAGATGTTTTTTTATATTCTACTCTAAGCTGTTTAGTTGTTATTTAATTAAGAATACGTCGAGTAATTACAATGATTGAGCTAATCATTTAAAAAAGTAAGCAAGGTTGCAATTTAATTTAGATAAATATTTTAAAGTGACTTTTTAATGTAAATATAAAAGATTTAACCTTTTCTTTTCTTCATAAATCTGTCATTTATGGCATGTTGCATTAAGATGAATGTTTAATTACATAAAAAATATTTTAATACCAATTGACTCTTGGAAATGTAAGAATAGATTATTCACAGAAAATATTTTTATTTATGTCACGTAGTCAACCCGAAGTATTCAGTTTTATAATAAGAGAATCGGTTTCTACTTATGAGATAAATTCAATTGTTTTCCTCAGTTTGTTTTTCTCGATATTTTGTAATTGATTGAATATTTAAGAAATAAAACTTATCTGAACTCAAAAATATGAGCTCAACTGGCACAGATCAAAATGAAATTACACAATTACTTGCTATATCTGATGTTCTGTTTGCTTACGTTGGGTTAACTATTATGCTGCTGGGAACGTTTGGAAATACAATTGATGTTATATCATTTGCTCGTCTGGAAAGTTTAAAAACCTTAGCAAGCGCATTATTTTTACTAGCTTCTGCTATTGCTAGTCAATGCGTATTGTCGTTCGGGTTACTTACAAGAGTTATTGGCGGCTTTTCAGGTATCGATCCTCTTTATACATCTGTAGTCCTTTGTAAAATACGCTGGATGGTTAGAACGGCATCTGGTGCAGTATCTTTAACGTGTATATGTTTTGCAGCAATCGATCGATATTTGTTCTCGTGCCATGAGATACATCGTTATCACCTGATTACAATGAAAAGAGCACGTTGGGCTATCTTAATATCAATCTTCTTTTGGTTGAGCGTTTTTTCATCTTATGCGATTTTCTATACATCACCGACTCCTCTATCTTGCACTATTGCTAATCCAGTCTTTGCTTATTTTGCATCGTATTTCAACTTATTTCATTATAGTATTTTACCGCTCAGTGTAATATCGACCTTCTCTATGTTAACATGGCATAATTTAGGACAACAACCAGCAACATATCTAAGAGGTGGCATTCGATTACATGATCAAGTCACTCGAATGCTAATTGAACAAAGTATTGGTATATTGATTACTTCATTTCCTAATATGATTTGGCAAATATATACTGTTTCGACTAATTCAGCAATAAAAAGTGCTCTACAATTAGCAAAAGAGAATCTAATTAATACTATTTGTGTACTTACTGGTTTTAGTACACATGCAATAACATTTTATATTTATCTACTTGCTTCGTCTACTTTTCGTAAGAATGTTCAAGAAATGTTTTTAAGTCGTCGAATTACACCATCAAGAAATGTTGATCTTGTCCAAATAACAATAACAAAGCCAGACCAAAGAGAAACAGTGCGCATTCCTTAAGATTACATTATTATTGGCCGTTGTATTATTCTTATTTCTTGTAAATACAAATACAAACAATGCAAACTAGTTCCGATTCCTTCGAACTCTTCATATTGTTTATTGATTTTAATAGGTTCAGCCTTGCAAAAGAATAAAAATTGAAAACTACAGCGGAATATTCGATGTGGTTGACACACGCGATTTGTGCGAATTCATAGATATGACCATCATTAACTCAACTTTTAAATCTCAGTTGATCAAACGATAGCAGCAGGTGATAACCGTCGCTTATCTTGGCATGAACATGTTTTGATTAGGAGCAAACCTCAGCGCAAAGTAACGTCTGTTGAATTTGCACTAGTTTAATCAGGTCCCACGGATATGGTGAGCACGATATTTTATCCATTCATTTATTTATTTATTTTTTATATTAAAAGATGGTTCTCTGTCTAGCTTGTTCCATTCAGGATTTATAAGGTTGCTCGTGAGACTATTGATTTCGACTATTTCACAGTGAATCTTCTAGAAAACGATCTCAGATGGAACAATGCATCTTGCATGTTTGCTTTCCATTGTAAACTCTTATTTGTGGGAATCGATTGAATCATTTTTCGTGCTACATCCATCATTATTGAAAGATGCGTCAAATTTCATAGTAAACCTTCATAACTACCTATAGCCATGTCCTTTAAATCGCTAAAAAAGGATATTCGTGAACTGAAAAGTAGCAGATTGCCATTTCTTTCCCGATAGCTTTCGTGATTTTGTTAATGTAACCCCAATGTATACTATATTATATAGAGAAATTCTTATTAATAATTCATGGTGATGAATAGTTCTATTATAAAATCGAACGTTTAACATATTCGATGGGATTCAATTTGTTTTAGGAAATATCTCTGGTAGACTCATTTTAAAGGTGCTTCTTCAAATCGAACTGAACAGTTGTTCAAGATCCATGCGCGAGTGTCAAAATCGATTTGTTTTCGCATATACTATTCATTCACACCAAGATTCACAAACGGGTCGTACAACAGCAAAAAGATAAATAAAAATCTTCTATTCTAATTGTTTTAACGAGAAGCATCGCGTGATACAAAAGGCAAAGCAGATGAAATATTATATGTAATTTCCTGCTTGAGAACAAAGGGAAAATTGTTTTTCTAGCAAGTTTATTGTTAAAATATATTAGAAAAAACTAGTAGTTCGTATTATCTTGAAACTGTAAAGCCATTCTACAACAATATAGCGTTGCAAAATCCCAATGCACAATACAACTTCATATAGTTAAATGAAAGTGAAGCGGAAAAAAACACGTTAATAAAATAGATATCTAAAAATAGGAAGGGAAAATATTCATAATTAAAAAGTATGACTTAAAGGATAACGATAACAGAAGTCATCTTACAGAAGAAAAAGATTTTCTTAACTTTATATAATAAACTGAAAACTCGTCCTTGCGTCATAATGTTAAGTATGTGGGTGTGAGTTAATGGTTTCTCCTATAGTGTTCTCCACGTTATCGGATATACAGTCAGAACTCGGTCAACAAGAAATTTTCACATCCCAACCCTATTGGGGCACAGAAGAAAATATTAATCAACAAAAGTGCTTCAACGGTGATGATCTTAGATTGAAACATTTAAAATCAGATAAATACGAACCGATTTTGAAAGCATGCATGACAAACGAGTCATCACATAGAATTAACTCAATGGTGAATTAATGGATTACTCAATGTAAATGAATTGGCAAAAATATTCGCTTTACTACATAGTTTTTAATACTAAAGTATTGTTTTTTTCCGCCGTTCGGCTACTTCGAACGATAAAATAAAAGCTAAAAAATAATTGTAAGAAATCCTAATGAATTATTACCTCAATAGTATAACTAAATGTAGTCTGTTACTTATCTGAAGAATATACGAAATTATCTTTCTTTTAAAGGTAACGATCTAATCTATGAGAGTTAAGAAGTATCTGAAATCTTATATCCTGTATACGATTGTTTTTTTGTCCATATTTCATCGGTAACTACCCAGATCAAACAAGCATGGTTATCAACAACTGTCTTAATATTCTATTTAATAAACTTCTTGGACATAGGTGTAGAGTGTCAATACGCCAGAAGGACTGACCCACACCTTCAAGATATGTGTAATTTTCTATTATTGTGAAGAGCGCATTATCAGGTGGAATATATGATGAAATCAAAAATTCTTTGAGAAGAAAAGCAAGCAATTAGTTATAGAGTATATTGAATATCTGTCTTTCAATTGAAGCAGCTCAACGGAAAGAAGAGAAAAATAGCTGACATGCAATGACATATGCACATCGAACGAACGAAAGAAATTCTTTATATTGTACTCAGAGCTGGGCATCACCATAGCCACGAGTACATTTTGGACCCTTAACGTGTTCACGTAGTTTTCGAATTGCATCGTAATTCAAAAATCACGTAGACACGGTAAGGGTCCGAAAAGTACTCGTAGCCATGGTGATGCCCAGCTCTAATTGTACTCTCTCTCTCTCTCTATCATGATTTTTTTATACTATTGTAACTTCTACTCTCAAACGAACTATTTCTCATTTAATTCAATTGTTTTCTATTCTACATATCCAGCTACTTGCTTCAGATTAACTGTCATCGTCTTGCTCCGCTTATGTAACTTATTACATGCTTGCTCTCGTTCTGTCTCTTATGTAAACGTCACTCCGCGTACGAGTCGAACGTCAGCTTATATTGCCTTGTAAGTATGACACAGCAAAAAAAGAAAGCAACTAGACATATATATATATAGTGGTCCATACGATTTCTTTAACAGAGCATTTTATCTAGTAATATATAATGGCCCATAAGCGTTTAGTAACTATAGTTGGAGCTACGGGTGCTCAAGGTGGTGCTGTTGTACGATCATTACTTGCAACAAACAAATACAAGGTAATTATTTAAATATTTTTTGTCATTCTTTGTGTGAGAGTAAAAACTGTTTTTGAAAAAGTTAATAGTTGAGAAAAACAAGAAAAATTTTAAAATTGGGTTATAAATATTATTCATTTTAATTTAAATAAGTTTCTGATAAGCTGAACAGATTTAATGAAACTCAAAAAACAAATTTCTATTATTCTTAACTTTAGTCAGATAATATTAATGAATTATTCTACGAGTGACTTTTCAAGTATTTATCTGAAAGCGTAGTATTATTGTGCTTAGTCACTGACTGTAAATGAAAATAATTATATTGTCTACTCTCGGTACTTGTACTGACTGGATTGTTTTTATTTCTCTTCTCTTTGTCATCTATGTAACAGTTATTTGATGTTTAAAATACGCATACCTGGTTATATCGAAAAGAATTGTTATAACTATGTACACTCACGAAATGTATTAAACTTTTTAAAGTAAAGAAGCATAGGAAATATGCTTTTGAATTTATTCTAATGGCTAGGATTGAAAGTTGTAATTCGATCAACTTTACCTCCCAAATTTGTTGTTTGGAAAATATAATTATTTTTCCCTTACAGATACGCGGCTTAACACGTGATGCAACAAGTGAAAAAGCCCAAGCAGTAAAGCGGCTAAGCGATAATATTGAAATGGTCTCGTGCGATATCGGCAAGCCGGAAGATGTTCAAAGAGCATTCAAAGATTCATGGGCTGTTTTCGCTGTTACAGACTTTTGGGCGCAACCCCATCAACCTGAAGTTGAAATTCAACAAGGTCAAGCAATGTCAAATGCTGCTGCTAAGCTGCAAGTTCCGTACTTCATATTCAGTACCCTTGAAGACACTATGAAACTGAGCAGTGGAAAATAGTAAGTCTTCTTCTTATGAAGTAGTTACCTGCAGTATCTGTTTTAATATACTTTTAAGTGATGTGCCACATTTCGCACAGAAGGCTAAAATACGTGATTATATCAAGGAAAACCATCCGACGTTGAAAACAATTTATGTTGAGCCCGGATTCTACATGCAGAATTGGTTAAGTAGTCTCAAGCCAAAAAAATCGGCTGATGGTACAATGATTTTTGCGCTGCCTGTCGATGAAAAGACTACATTGCACATGGTCGATATTGAAGATACTGGCCCAATTATTACTGCAATTCTAAATGATCCAGAAAAATATGTAGGTCAAGATATTTGCATGTGTGGCGACGCTATTCAATTTAGCGATGTTCCTAAGATTTTTACCAAAGTTACTGGCGTCCCAGCTTCAGCTAAAACATTAACAGAAGCAGAATACCGATTGGGAATGCAGTCCGCACCAAAATTTATACAAGATGAATTCTTTGCTATGTTCCAATGGTTTCAAGAATATGGCTACTATGGTAAAGACAAAGACTGGACGACTGGGAAAAAATTAACAACATTAAATACATTTGAACAATGGTTGAAAAAGAACGGCTGGAAAGGTCAATAGTTGTTCAAGACGATATTTTACCGCTAGAAACAATATTTATTCAAAATATTCATTTTTTGTAGTTCCTAGCAGTATATCTGATTAAAGATTGAAATAAAATTTAACAGCTCTTAATGAATTAGAACGTATATAAGTATATGGTATCACACTCATCTTCATCATTACGTTCCATAGTTGTAATTTCTATCAGTAGAAGTAAGTAAAACGAGCCCAATATTAATTCCTAAAAAAAGAGTTTTCGAAACTGCCAATTTTGGCTTATAGTATACACAATAAATGCTATACATTGTTTAGATGCGTGTTCAAACTTACAATTATGATCTTGTCAGTTCTCAAAAAGTTTCACTCATATAAAGATTTCGATCAGCTATAAAAATATTTCTTTTGATAATGCCGTAAAACACCACAAATTAGAAAGTCGAAGTATTTATTTCTTGATTAAAGATCTACAGGACAAACATTTTTGTTTTCTTATGTATATTCATGATCACCGTGACTCGGGAATCGAAGAGAAAGAAAAGTCGTTTGAAGGCAACATTTTTATTTGTAAACTTTAATATTTTTTCTTTTTCTTTCTCCATTAAAATGCAAAGTCCAATAGAAATATGGCATCTGATATTTTATCACGTGTCCTTTTGGACGATTAAGCGAGATCATTCTCATATTGCAAATGTTTCTACAACCTTCTCATATTATATTTCTATTGACATGATATTTGACTTCATACATTATGCATACATAATTTCTTAAAATGTTTTCCTTATAGTATGTTTTTTGCTTTGATAAACAGATAGATAGATAGATAGAGTATCTATACATGTATATAGTTAAAAGACACGACTGCAGGTGGGTTCAATACAAAAAAATAAGAATGTCGAATGATTAAACACTAACATTGATTTAATGACTTTGGCTAGCTAAATAAGTACATGATGACCTGTTTTTGAAAGATTATGATGCGCGGTCTTCAATTGAATCTTTATGATTTCCAACTCGAATAGCAAGGATATGCGTCCAACTAAATCGTTTGTTTTCCTGACTGAAAATGCCGATTGTTTCAATGGTCAGGAACAAAAAAATTTAAAATGTTAAGAAATTTAAAAATTTTACTATCAACTTATTCTGAAATGTCAAGTCTTTATCTAATTTCTAAATAGGTGAAACTATTATAAAACATCTATATACAGAGAGAAAATATAAAGTTTTATAGTTCTTAAACATATAACTCTTTATTACTGTGGTAACATCTATAAAAGAATGTTTGGCCATTCGATTTATCGTCCAATTTTCTCTTTCTTTTCCTGCAAAGTCAAATACAAAAATAAAATTTTCATGTCTGTAATTAAATATGTTTGTCTTTCTCAGATAGAATGAAAAGTGTATAAAAAATAACATCGTAAAACTTTATGCTGTACTGATTTTCTCCGCTAATATTGCTTAACATCCACACTCACATCATCAACATAGTCAAAAATACGACTAGCCTCGCCTCGCCACGATGCTAGGCGAGTCTGGGATCTCTGATTAATGCATACATAAGCTCGTATTTAGTGCAAGAAAATTTAATAGATATTCGTACATATATGGTGGCATGAAAGCAATTATTTGGACTGATGTTTTGCAAGCATTGGTAATGTATACTGGTGTTTGTGTTGCTATTATTTATGGTAAGTTCATGTACCTGAAAGTCTCAAGTTTAATGATTTGAATCTTTTCTACTAGGTTTAATTCTGGTAGGTGGGTTCAAACAAGCATTTTCGATTGCTTCTCAAGGTGATCGTATTGAATTTGATAAGTAGGCTTATCAATATTCATTGCGTATCCATAGAAATTTTTCATGTTTTCGTGAATTTAGTTTGAGTGTCGATCCTCGAACACGTCACACAGTTTGGCCAATTTTATTTGGTAATTCGTTTAATGCCTTGCTGACCTATGGTTTCAATCAGATGCAAGTCCAACGTTATATGTGTGTTAAATCGACACGTGGTGCACAAACAACTATTTTTATCAATATAATCGGTGTTGCTTGTCTCATTCTTCTATCGGGTTTGATGGGTGTTATTCCCTATGTGTATTATTCTGGTTGTGATCCATATACTGCTGGGTATATTCAAAGTGTTGATCAAATATTTCCACATTTCATTATGGATGCATGAAGCCATACGAAGGGTATGCTAGGTTTATTTCTTGCTTGCGTATTTTCGGGTTCACTTTCAACCATTTCATCTGAACTTAATAGTTTGGCAGCAGTTATTATCGAAGATGTTTACAAAGGATTGATGAGACGAAAGATAAGCAGTGAACGGCAAGCCTTTGTATCAAAACTATTTTCAATTGTCGTAGGCATAGTCGTAATAATGCTCACCTACATAGTGAGCTATATAGGTTCAGTGAGAAACGCAGCCATATCACTTTCTGGTACCCTTTGTGGACTCATCATATGTGGATTTTTTCTTGGATCTTTTGTCCCACAAGCAAATCAACTAGATGGCTTGGCTGAATTTTTCACTAGTTTAGCGTTTTAAATGTGGATCTTTATCGGTGTACAATTAACGAAAAATCAAAAAAGCAATAATCGACTGCCATTATCAATAGCCAATTGCACAGGTACCAATGTAACAGAGTCGATGATTACAAACATGACAACAACAATCACAAACACAAAGTAAGCGACTATTTAATTACGCTATTCATTCAGTTAATTTAAAGAATCTTGAAGAATAGTCGAGTGGAAAGTGTTGTTCTATTTTTAGACCCAATCCATTGCTTGATCTTTATTCCGTGAGTCACATGTGGTATACACCGATTGCCGTTGGCATAGTATTAATCGTTGGCGTTCTAGTATCGTATCTCAGTCATCCGTTGAAATCAAATGAAATTGATTCTAAACTAATCATCTGAAAGAACGATATACGCATGCAGTTCTTGTTGTGGGTCAAAGCGATGGCGAAAAGCATCGGTTAGTGCTATCTCCAATAGCATCTCAAGCAAATTTGAGGTAACGTTTTTATGATACTTCTTCTAATCCAATAGCTTTCATTACTCTCTAGAAACCCAAAATTATAGAAATACCATTGACATTGCTACCAACTGCGTAACAACATATATTTCAAATTTTCCAACATAACGGTGCGGGTGTTTAGAACATAAATATTGATACTCCATACCCTTACCCATCATATACAAATATAATTTATTTACCTATTTATTAGCAAAATAAATATAAAGTACCACTCATATGGACCCTTACAATGATATTATATTGGGTGACCCAGGTTGAATAGCCCTCTCAATATTTTGGTGATATCTTTTTCAATTATCATTCTCTAGACTTCAACGCTTCCCTAAAAGATCCGCTATTCAATTCTCTACAAGACCTGCATCACAAGATTTTGTATTGAAAGTTAAGCAAAAACGTTTTAAGTAGAAACTTCGACAAGTGCAAAAGTACCAATTCTCACTACAATTTCAGAACAACCTAATGTATCGTTTTCATGCAAACCTACAGATAAAGAAAAGGAAGGGAAAGTGATTTTTGATTACTTTAAAATGTGCTATTACTTACCAAGTAGCCCAAAATTTGGTGAAGTCAAATTGAAGATTAGCTAAAGCAATCATTTAAGAAATTCACGGAAAATGGCTAAAATCAGATATTTTGCGCGAGATAAATCGAAGAAAGAAATCAAATGTCAATTCTTGCCGCTGAATCAGATACAACACTAATTGTCCATTATAATAAAACGTAGTCGAACCCAACAGATGCTATTCTGGTTTAATTATGCCTGTTATTCTAAGAGCATCGTAACTCCAAATTGAATGAGCTAAAGTTTCGAAAATTCGAATAAGATATGTTGAACATGCTACCATGATCAACGAGGAAATTTCCCAATTATGACTGATCGATACAGCTTTTCAGGGGCTACAAGATAATATCAAAATATTGAGAGGGCGTTTCTATCTGGACCACCTGATATTAAGTAAACTATTGAAAAGTGGAGAGAATGACCACTACAGATTTCTTAGCGAGTACGGATGTCGGTCTACATAATGATACAATAAATGCTCGCTGACAGTCTGTGTCCGCGCATCTCTTACTAGTAACATTGATAGTGGTCGTTGTGTTTATTCGTGTTCGGTCATTCATAGGAAGTTCTGATCACATGATGAAAAAAAACAGAAAATATCAGTTTGAGATATTTATTAATCAAAAAAAAATGTAGAACACCCGAGAGCATCGGATCAGAAAGGAGGCACGTTACAGATATTGTTGCTTGTAAAAATCGGAATATTCGTTTGACTAAATAAAACGTAAATGTTTCACATTCACATAGCAGTTGTACACTAATTTTCTACAGACACACAGGCACAACATTTAGATTGTTCCGTTATTCTCTGCTAATAGCTACTTTTTTGGTTTATATTTTCGTTTGCATGCTTTTTCAATCATCTTCTCTACTAATGTCCAATCGTAATCGCTCACTCGGGTGACGGCAATGAGATCATCATTTTTATCAAAATAAAGTGACTTCAAATTATATTCAGCTTGAGTACGTTTGATATTTGCATGTTGTTTACCAATAAATAGACCAATACCATTTTTTGGAAACGTAAAACGTTTACCATTTTCAGGTAGTTCATAGTAATGAGAGTTATTTTGGGATCGTGGATAAGCAGTTATAACTACACCACTTTTGCTTACAACCTTATCGACGTACGCATTGATGGAACTCCGCGATTGCAAGAGTTCTGCTGCAGGAATTTTCCGTTCTTTGGCTCGTTGAACAGCATGACGACTCATACGCAGCACATCAAGAGAAAAGTCACCATAATAAGGATCATTATACAACATTTGTTTTTTCATGAGCTTGGCCATGATTTTACGCAGAATATAAAGCTTCTGTATGCAAGAAAGAAGATGCAAAGATAATATATAAGTTTTGTGATCCGATTTATCTGGTGTTGGAGCTATGATCCTCTATAAAGGTAAATTTAAAAATAGATATAAAGGCAATGGTAGGAAACTGCATTCAGCAAACCATAGAACTAAACGTTAGAGGTCACACTCTGTCATAATTTATACGGAATTTTAATTTCATACTAGGCACAACTTATAAGATTAAGATCCAAAAATAAAAAAGTGAAAACTTTTTACCAAAGTGTACAATGTACACTTTGCTTTTCATACGCAAATGTACAACAGAGTGTACATCATAAGTAGCGAATGTTCTGGATATCTTGCTTTTGCTGTGTACGCTTGCTATTTGAAACACTGATCTTCTCTCTTATAGCACGACTCTAAACTGTAAAACCAAATAATAGAACGCTACACACTAGTACTATAAGCAGTTTTTGATGATTCTCCTGTAAAACGCTGCAAGTCAAAATGTCGAATAAAAAATTTCTACTATAAAAGATTCTTCTAGGAATGACACAAAAGATCTTCACTACTAGGCAAACATGACCGGGCGAGAATTTCCTTCATCTGAAAACTTTTTGGATGGCGAATTCAATTATTCTATTATATTTCATAGCTTGAAAATTACAAAATATCGATAGACAACCATTGCTATACTCACAGTAGAATTCATCAACACAGTCGATGCTGTTGTAGAATTCGTTGATGAAGTTGTGTTGGTTAGCTCCAGTGTAGTTGTTGTACTACTATTGTCTGTTACCATATATATTGTTGTGTTAGTGCTTCCAGTAGGTACAGTTGCGGTACTGGTACCATTATCGATTAATGAGGTTATTGTTGTAGTGCCATTGTTAAATACATTATAGCCGTTGCGGTGTTTGCATTGTCCATAGTTGATGAACTATCCTGTGCATCACGTTTTGATATTGATATCGTCATAAGTGCCATAAAAACAATGTTGACGATCATAATACTGAATGGAAATATCATTGTTGTTTCTTTTGAAAAAAACTAAACATGATATTATGAACAAGAAGCTAATAAAACTATTTAAGAAATAAAACTATTTAATAAAGAGTTTGAAACAAATTGAGTAAAGCAATCGTGACATTCCAGAAAAGTAAATGATGTTTTTGTCTTGTTAAGAATCTTAATTCACTGTTTAACGGTCAATTAGGTGGGCATGTGCGAAATTTTTTAATGCGAGAGCATAAAATTCTGTGCGTAATATTTAAAAAAATGATGAAAATATTCAGAAAATATGCTAAAATGCTCTGTAACCGAGCAAAATGCGATTATTTTTCATAATTTTCGCTTTCTGCTTTTCGGAAATGAATTTTCAAGTTGATTTTCTCAATCAGTTGATAGTAGATACTATTTTAAAGATAAATACTATCTTTCCGAAGATCGCCTTTAATAAAAGTTCGCTTAAAAAAATTTTAATTTTAGCATTAAACATTTAAAGAAAAAAGTATTTATGATAACAATCGTGTAGGAATATTGATTGAGAATAGAAAATCAATTTTTATTAATTAAAAGTTGGATGTTTTCTTTTAATATCTTCGTACCATAATAAAAACATGCTGTAAGCCATGCAATTCTACAGATTCTAAAGAATGTTGATTCGGGAAAAGCAATTGCATGAAATAGTAATGTAATTGGAGATAAATACTAAATACAGTATCGGTTTTATGGGGTAAGGTTATTTACTTTGCTGAAGTAAGAATAGCAAATTTTTAGAATACTCGAAAATTTTATATAAAATGGAAAGTTTATTAAAAAGAAAAGTATTTTTTCTATAAATGATACTTGCATTTATTTTTCAAATAGTTATTTTCGATATAGAAATACGAAGGCAATTTTGTCATGTAGGCAAGTATTCTGCCTCCCATTTTATAGGCAACTTTTAATGTACAATATTAAGATACGTCATCGGTATCTATTAAAAGCTAAGTAAAGGCATTCTATAATTACTGAAGCTTGACATAAAAGAAAAGAATACTTGGCAAAAATATTTGTATCAGAAATTCTTGTTTTTTTCAAAAACTCCTTTTATTTTTTGCTAGTACGTACAACAGTTTTATTAAGTACTCGTATGAAATTTGGTATGATGCGGTAAAGAAAGCTGAAGCATAGTATGTGAAGAGACAACATTGTAGGAAAAATAACCAACCAGAAATAAGATCACGTAAACAACGAAACTGAATACGACAGCAAAAAAGCAAAATGAACGCTTTCATATGAATGTCTTCATAAGTTTTTGAAAAATTTTCATCATATATCTTTAACGGCTAATGATAAAAAGATAATAACCATAAATAGCAGTGGCATATTTATCAATTCTTGTTGTACATTACCACGTGAAGGCTTTGTCGTGGTGCTGGTGGCCATAGTAACAGTAATAGTCGTGACGCTTGTCATAGCTTGCATCGAAGTGTCCGTGCCCGTTGGCCGTGTGCCAGACATTTGTGTTGTATCCGCAGTAACGTCTACACGAATATCACTCAACAACAACATAAACATGATCAAAGAAGCAACTATATTAACATGAATTCTTCGAGCCACCATTATGACCTTAACGAAGTAATGCTGAATTTGATCTTAAATATACTGAATAATGAGGATTAGACAAATATTTGATTGGTGACATAAATGCTTGTTTCAAGCGGAAAAATGATGTTCAGGTCAAAAATGCTTCAAAGCTAAACTTACGATATACACACTAAACAAAAAAACACTAACAGAAATATCACGTTCCCTCAATAACGTCAAACCACTGTAAAAATTAATTTGTAGCGGAAAAATCAAAAACTCAATGGGAAAAATAGTTTAGATAAATGAAACATAATTTTTCGGATAGAGAAAAATGCGTTCGTATGTAATTGAAATGAACGTAGAGGTATTCACGATAAGAGAAAAAAGAGTTTGCACGGTACTAAGGATGTTGGGAAAATTTACAGTCGGTTAGATTTTGGTTGACTTTGGTTAAAACAATGATGGGTAAATTTGCATGAAGATGGGATGCCGAAAATCATTCACGATATAAGTGAAAGTTTTCATAGTTTTGTGGTGATGCGTGACGAATTTCAAAGAGCTGATAAGAAATTTGGTTTCAATGAATCGTTGGGAAAGAAGGAGTTTGAAGGATGACAATGAAAATGAAAACTAGGCATATTTGGTGTTTGTAAAGTTCTGTATAGCATGGAATATGTTGTATATCCACGGATATCGTTTCTGAACAGTGACGACAAAAGTACTCGATATGAATTTAGTATACACACGCTGACTTATACTTATATAGTTTGTCTTCTGTTATAGACAGAACTGGAAAAGAATTCATTTTTGACCTGAACAGCATTTTTCCGTTTGAAATGAACATTTATCTCACCGATCGATTTTTTTGTCTATTGCTGAAAACAAAGAGTTAATGGTCAGAAGAAGTTGTTTTGGATATATATGAATATTACAAGAATAGGCATTTATAATACAAATAAAAATCTAATATGAAGATACAAACTCTTTATATACTTTTTGAGTCTTTTTAATACATGCTTGAATAACACTTAATCATAAACCATTTAAAACTTCATCGACAACATTTTCTAGTTCACATTGTGATTTAGAATTTTTGTTTGTATTATAAATGTCTATTCTTGTAATATTGATATACGTATATCCAAGAAAACTTATTCTGATCATTAACTCTGTGTTTTAGATCAAAAATACGATTTGCATTCATTTTTTCCGTGGTAATAAGATTGTGCTACTTTTTATGAAGTAAAATCGTGATTTTCACACGTAAGTGAAGTTAGTATCGTATTCGAGTAAAACCTATCGATTCTCTTGTGAGCTGATGTTCCAACGCGCATGCGCATGTTCCTAGTGAAATTTCATATGTTCTATCAAATGGTAATTTGAATTAACTAGATCTCGAAGCGTTCTCCTGTAATTTCGAAAAATCCAAAGAAATCCTGGAATTCCTTTTGTTGAATCTGTCAATATTCATTCCATGAAATATTTCAACTCTCACACTCGTGTATCAAACAGATCTCAACAAATGTCATCGAATTGTAAAATCAGATTTTTCGTCTCCCTGATAATGGTCCTAAAATCTCAAAATACTGTATTTTTCTATGAAATTCTAGCACCATATTCGATTAAAAGTTGCCCATATTCGTTAAAGGCCTTGCTATAAGCGCTCCACTCATGATATAAACACAAATCTAGGAGATCTATTTAATGATGTCCGCAGATTTTTCATAGCTCATAGTAGGATTTTTTAGGTTTCTTTGGCATTATTCTATCAGTGCTGAAGTATGATTTCAAGCTGCGGAAAATATGTGCTTTCCACTGGATAGAGTTTGTCGAGTTCCACTTGGAACATAGGTACGAGAATGGAAGATTCGTCGAAGTGAATATGAGCGCATTTAAAAAAAAAGACACCAGAATAGTAATATGACTATGGACGTTGGAAAATCAGCTCAAATGAGTATCCACAGGTTTTACTCGAATACGATGCTAAATTCACCTACACGATGGTCATTTAATACTTTTCACTCCGATAGTTTGTGTAAACTCTAATCTAAAAAATGCTACTATACTTTAAGCGAACAGCTAGTCATCGTAAACGACAGAAAAACGGCAACCGTTTCCTGAATCATTTACGGTCATCAGCTCTGGTCGTTTACGATAACAGTAGACGACTACAAAATGCGGTCGCCGTTTTTCACTGTGAGTGATAGGTATGCGGCCGTTTACGACTCAGGATGATCGACCTGGTATAAACATTGACTTTTTAAGTAACTTTAATGGATCTCAGAAAGAAAGTAAAATGTTAGTCGAGAGGATAAATGAATGGAATGAACGAATAGATGTTTCAGATTTGAGTTCAAAATGGTGCAAGGAAAGACCTGAAAACTTAAAGGATAATCTTATTTTCATATTATACAAATGCGAATGTTTAAGTGCACATATACAGGATACCGACCCCATCTTAAATACATACACCCCACAAATAATAGTTCTCACTGGAGTAGGTTCAATGATTCATAAACTACCCTACTTTCCTCAGTATTACTGGCATAGTCAAAAAGGGATAAACAGTTTCGGGAGAGTCACCTTTTTAATACATAATTAACTAAAATCTAAAGTAATTAATAGACACGTTAACTTTCTTATGATAGAACTAGCAGTAGCTCAATCAAATCTACTCTTAGGATCAGTATACGTTCCACATAAGGATTTACCTCCCTTAGAATTATTCGAAGTATGTAAGGATAGAGAATTTTTTCTTTTTGACGATTTTAACGCTAAACACACAGCATGGCTACGTAAATCAAATAGTAGTAATGGAGTAGAAAATAAAAAATGACTTGATAAAACAGGATATGAAGGCATCTTTCCACAAACAACCATATCCAAGCGCTCAGATGTTATCATAGATTTCGCGATTGGGTACACAAATGTAGGGTGGTCTTCCGAAGTATTAAACATAGGTACCCCCGACCTTTTTCAGTTCTTTTCTCTTCTCCAATAGTAGATGAAAAAATGTTTATTTATCAGAAAATAAATTTTACTCTTTTCACCTATTTCTTATCATGCGTCTTTCAATATTGGAATACGTGCGTATACAATATTGAAGAGCAACAATTCTTTATCCTTTTCTCAAACTTTCTTAAAGCACTCGGGGATAGAACTAGCACATATGAGATCAATAGAAAATATAGACCATCATGACCTCCACATCTACTTTCACTTGCCAAACAAGTAAATTATATGAGACATAAATATCGTAGAACGCGCTTTCTCATTTATCTTGAAGAATATAAACAATTAAAATGGCAATATCGTTGCGCTAGGACAACTTACGAACAAGAAAAACAAGAAAATCAATTTAAATATTTGGAAGATAGTAAAACCAACATTCCATCTTTACCTCCCATCTTTTAGAGGATTAAAAAACAACAGTGGTGAAATTATACGTGACAGTCAGAAAGTAGCTGATCACTTAGAAAATTATTTTGAGGAACATTTTTCGAAACCACTTCATGATTCTAGAAATAAAGAACACATCAAATACTTAAAAAAATATGAGCAAATAGTTCATCTGCCGAAAATGCCAATAGAGCCCATCGAAATAGCTGAGGTTTATAAACAATGGTGTAAGATGTCAGCAAAAAAAATCAACTGGCGCCTTCGGTATTTCAGCTGTCTTATTAAAAAATCTCCCAATTGAATACATGAGTATTTTCACAATTATGTTCAATAAATGTATATCAAAAGGAGAATTTTTAGAAGCCAGAAAAATAGCTAAGGTCATATGTCTATCAAAGGAAGGTATACAATATCCAACTGAAAATCATCTAAGACCAATATCATTATTCCCGAGCAGAAGTAAACTTTTTGAGAGATGCTTACATACAAAAATTCTTAAAGGATGTGAATCCCAAGGAATATATATATCGACGAACAGCCAGGCTTTACCCCTAATAGACGTCTACACACGCGTATTCTTACAATCTGCAAACACATAAGACTAACGATAGCAGCTCCAAATCGTCCCATACTTGAAATATTTGTAGATTTTATGACCGCTTTCGACAGAATGTGGCGCCCAGTTCTCATCTCAAACTTAAAAGAATTATATATACCACTAAACCTTGTACGTTTTATACACGAATGGGTAACAGGTCGTTCAATGAATATATAATACGGAGATGCTTTATCCAGAAAAATAGGAATTCATGTAGGAGCGCCTCAGGGCTGAGTATTATCAGCAACCTTATTCAAATTGCATCTACACTCTCTACCCAAAATCTTCGCACGTTTTAATTCACATTTATTTGCCGATGACTTGGCAATCTTGATAAAAGGATCTATTGAAAAAAGATTACCCATAAATATAACCCAACTAGAAGACCACGCTAAAATCCCTATGTCAGCCTTAGAAAATTTTTCCAAAGATAATCTATTACCAGTAAACACAAACAAAACAACAGTCATGCTATTTCATAATGCTGTGGCTCCTAGTTACCCAAATATATTTTTTGAAAATAGAAAACTCGAACTTGTATCCACGTTTAAATATTTAGGAATTGAAATAAGAACAAAACTAGGCTGGGGTGCAAATGTAAAATCACGAATAGCTAAAATAAGACATATTTACTGCGATCTCAGTCAGTTATATCATAATATACCAAGAAATAACATTAAAATTAGACGTTTGCTCTTTCTTACATGTGCCTTCTCCCATTTCATTTGGATTTTAATCTTATGGTTCTTTCTTACTGAAAATCAAAAAATAGAAATAAAACACGTTTACACATCAGGCCTCAAAATAGTATACTCGTTATGAGGTTGGGATGACCTAACTACTCACATATCATCGAGAGAAAAAACTTTAACTGACTACATATTCAGCTACTGGAAAAAACTGCTGAAACATTTAGATACACCTAGTGAAGCTTCTGAATGCAACGAAACATTTGAATCATATATGATCAATACCTCCCTGTGACGACAGC